TTTCTTTACGACGAATTTCAACTCGAGAACATACACAGAGGAAGGCCTGGAATGGGTAAACAAGACAGAGACATTGAAGGATGTAATTGATAGGCATTTCCCTGATATGACAAAGAGATGGATGAGGTGTTCAAGTGCATTCTCTGTCTGGGATTCCTTGCCAGACCCAACAAACTACATTCCCCTTTACCTCAGACCAGCCACTTGAAAGTTTCCATCTTTCTCCAAACTCTTTCAAAATGGACATGCATAAAATGTACCTATTTCTCACAATACCCAGGAATTGGCTCACAGAAGAGATAAGCAAATATAGTTGGAGGCAATTGTATGTATATACATGCATATTGGGGCTGCATTTCAATACTTTTAGCTGTTGAAGTATAAAACTGAATGTTGTAGTTGTTTTTGATCTGTTTAATGCAAAGTTTGGAACAATAGGAATGCCCAAATGAAAAGCACCAGTATTTGATATCATTACCCTGTTATGTTGTATCTAAATTTTGATAATCAATACCTTTATGCAAAGCCACAAGGAAATGTTAGAACAATAGTCAAACTCTCACTAACAAACATTTCTAATTGACTCAACCAGTCATCCAGAGTTTATTTGACAATAATTTTAATTTAAAAATAAATTACAGAACAAATAAAGTGTGTTAGGAAATCTTGTCCAACACGAAATCATTCTGAAATTCAGAATAGTGTTACATTGTATCTGGCAGTTGAATGTTTAGTAAAGAACAACAAATACAAGAATGTTCGTTATAATTATTACCAAATATAATATTTAAGTTGATACAGCTTTCATTTGGATTTATACACTTCGACACTTGGCATTTAAAATAAACAACCACGCACTTACGCAACAAAGATTGATTTCATGAACAGTGATAAGAAGATAATGGAATAAAAAATTATACATAAGTTGGTCCATGAAAAATCTGAACTTTTAAACTCAAAACCGAAAAGATGCATCAATCATCAGCTACTGTGGCTCACCCAATTCTGCAGGAAGACAGTGAGACCTTTCGCAATAATTTATCTATCAAACCTCATAATCATCATTGAACTGTACAAAAAATCAACTTTGAACACCAACAACGAGAAAGCAAGACCAATTCCAAGCTGCAACGAAGCTCAAAGCATCACCATTCTATCAAAAACAAGGTGCCTCGATGACCAAAAAAGAGAAGCAGGCTCTTAAAATCCAACATTCTAGTTCACTAAATGAAATTTAAGCTCACAAAAAACAAAACCCAACGATTCAAAATATTCACCTGAAAGTCTTATTTCTGACATTAATATCCTCCCTTTTATCCAGTAGACATCACTGAGGAACCAACTTCCAGACACGAACACAAGCATCTTCACCGGAGCTCACCACGCTATGGTCATCCGTGAATGCCAGTCCGTACACCCCACCCAAATGAGCTCCCTTTGCTGTTAGACGACTGGATGCTGGCTTGTCAATTTCGTAAATGATGACACATGTATCTAATGAACCAGTCGCAACCTTGGTGTTATCAGGAGACCAAGCGAGGCAATTTATACGAGCAGTATGGTACAACATATTCTTAAGTTTCACCTGCAGGTAATAAGAAAACAAATATTGGTATAAGAAAAAACCACACCTCATCAAGTCTTCCATTCAACTATCTAGACAACGACTATAAAACAATTTCAATTAAAAACCTGGGCAAGTTAATTCAGAACAGCCAGACATGAATTCAAAAGCAAAATATGTTAGGAAGGTGATAACTTACCTCTCGAGATGCACGATCCCAGACAACAGCTTCTCGGTTGAGATCTCCCGATGCAAACATTGAAAGATCAGGGGAGTATCGTATCACACTAACAGCTCCTCTGTGTTTCTCAAGGGTTGCTTCTTCAGTAAGGGAGTCGCCTGCGATGGAATAAATATGTAACTTACCATCTTGCCCACCTATAATARCCTCACTTCCATCTGGTGCAAGTACAGACGCTGTCACCGTAAATCCAAGGTTTATGGTTGACACTACTGTTGAGCCACGCAGCAGGACAACTCCAGAATCAGTTGCAACCAAGGCAAGTTCAGGAGAAAGAGCAGCAAGGGTCAAGTCCTTTGGTTGACTTCCAACATCAACAGCCTCTGCCTCCCCACACTGACCATCCTTGATAGAAACTCTCCATACCTGGAAGTTTGGAAGAGAGACAGAAAAAGAACCATAAGGATTTAAACAAGTTGCATTACAGAAATCACTCACTTTCTTTTATGAATATGTGCCATGTGCCTCAAAAGTTGCAGAATAGGATGGAGAGTTCACATACAGAGAATTTTAATTTTGGTAGAACCACCAAGTTCGATAAGTATAGGCCTTCATTCAATAAGGAATAAATAAAAAGACACAAGGTACAACATCTCTCTTAATAGTGCCCTTGTTTCGACGAATTCTAACATGGGAAGAAGGGAAAAAATAAAGAGGGAAAATTGGCAGACTATCTATTAACTTGTAAAAGCAATTACCTTATTGTCAAAACCAGACGTAACAAGTTCATCTTCATGAGCAGCAAAACATTTGATTTGAGAATTTTCCCTTCTTTGCAACTTGCCACTGTATCCAATACCTTGGGTCCATTTAATAATCAACCCATCGTAGCTAGTAGATAATATAACTTTAGGGTCAGTTTTAAGAACGACTAACGAAGTAACATTCTTCAAATGTCCAGATAATATGACAGGGGATTTATCAAGATCACTGGCTGAAAACAAACTAATAGTTCCACCAAGAGAAATTGTGACAAGATGTTCATTCTGCCATAAACACCCGACTTGCATATCATCAACTCCACCTGAGCCAGGACAAGTCAAGGTTTTCTCTAACTTCCCGTTACCATCATCAGATATCTCCCAAACTTTTGCTGTTTTGTCAGCAGACACAGTCAGCACCTAAATATATGATCACACTAAACATCAGAAAACTGTACAGATAATACAAGTAACAAAAACGCAAAGCAAGGCAAAAAGGAAGCATAACACAATAATTTATTTGTCTCGTTTAGAAAGTGTCTAGCCATCTCAAAAGTTTGCCAATGGCAATAGCATAATTTATTTGCCAATAAATTATCATGAAAATTATAAATATAAATATTAAAATTTACAAGAATAAATAATATATTAGTGGATAACAGATTATATGTAGATATGCATGTATTGATGAATTTACAACTAATAAAACGAACCTTAGCGAGAAACACTACCTTCCCAATGACTACAAGTTGAAACAGACAAATTTACTAACCATGGATTCAAAAATGAACATGAAGTATCTAAAATTTCACTATGTCAGTGTGATTGGAAGCTCCATTTTTATCACCACATGCTCAGTAAGGAACTATGTATCTTTTTAATTTATCAGATATGAATGACTTATATGCTAGTCAAAAGATAAGAAACCAGAGTAGTTTTGGATCTTGAAGTAGCTAGGTGAAGTTCCATGTACACTAACTTATATTTACAAGAAATAGCAAAAAAAATACTTGGCCAATCAAGGAGTTTGCTCTATGGATTTTATATTTATCTAGAGAAATGCACTCTCCTTCACAATGAGGTGCAGTATAGTCCAATACAATGGTTTCTTATCAGGGAGAAAAATGTGCTGGTGGGGTGACAAATAGATAGTCTCATGCATTCTTGCACATGTCACAACAGATATATTTCATAGCCAGTAGATGCACTCTATAATGTGCCTTCAATATTGTTCTTCGACAAACTAGTCTGTGCTAGAAAGTTTAGAAACTATGTCTTTCACACAATTAGAAGTTTTGTCAATATAAAAGTCGTACGATCAACGGAAAATCATGAGAATAAATCTAGACTAACCCGTTTTCCATCAGAACTCCAGCTGACAGCATAAATACTGCCTTTATGCCCATCGTCAGAAGAGAGTTCACCAATCTTATCCCCAGTCTTAGCATCATATATTAAACCCTTCTTGTCAGAGCTCACAGTAATAAACTTGCTGCCATCTGGAGAGAACCTTACGCAGTTGACAAAATTTGAATGGTCCCTGAAGGTCAACATACCAAAGGTTTTTATTGAAGGCTTTAAAAGTGGATTTAAAAAGAGGCATAAAATTTGAAGCTATAATATAAAACCTTAAGAATAATAAACTTTACGAAGTAAAAATAAAACATCTAAGATAAAAAATAATAATATGAATATTGGTCCAGTAGGGGGATGTGAAAAAAGTTGAGAGCTTGTCTTGTATCATGTATGGCTGGTGAAAATGTTCTATCTAAATTCTAAACTAGCCTCAACATCCGTGTCTACTTAAAATTAGGATAAAATATTTCCTTGTTTCATATCAACTCCTCCACACTGAAGCTCCAGGGAAATATGTCATTAACGTAATTTTCGTGATCAGCTTCCATTTCTTCTTTTAGCTCCTCACAGTTTTAACTTCACTTAAATATTTTAAAGTTACGTAGCTGCAAGGAAGAAAAAGAAGAAGCATATATTTCAAGACTACGAGCCACATGCACACACCAGAACTAGCAACACAAGTTTTCATGCTTGAGAACCATTGTCAGCATGAAGTTCCGAAAGTGACAGGCTAGAGATGCAATTGGAGTTCGTTATAATGTCATCGATCAATATGGAAGGAAATACGCAAGGCATGTACTTCCATAAGAAAAACAATTAACAAACCTGAGAGATAGCTTAAATTTAAATGGTGGTCCTTCATAAAAATTCACTAGGAAATCCTCTCCGCATGTGGCAATGCGAAAGGGTCTTGTTGGCTTAAATGCGCAGCTTAAAACCCGCCTTGAGTGACCATCAAACTCACCGACATTCGTGCCCGAATCCCACCTAATCACGATGTCAATCATAAAGGATTAGCATTTCGAATCCCTGATAAAAGGAGGATCACGTATAACAATTAGTTTACAAAACTGAACAGCAGAAAAGTATCCGAAGCATGACTCGAATTTGTATCCTTGTTTTTGGAAAAGCAGTTTTCAAAAAACGTGGCCCGCTCCATTTCCCGTTCCCCCTAAATTAAGAAGTGCAACCAGTTGATCCCTAAGATTCTCATCACTTATAAACGCAAAAACACCCCGGAATTCATTTGATTTCATCAATAATTGGTTTCCTAGCAATTTCTCAGTAACCAACCAGAAACCAAAAAGACAAAAAGGGCAACAAACTCACATAAAAGCACGCACGAACGATTTCCCCTTCCCTTCACCAGAAGCCACAATTCTCATTCCATCGGGAGACCATTGCAAATCATCGATCCGGCCGGACAAAACCTTAAACTCCTTCTTGAGCACGAAACCACTATGAGTGCCCCAAATCCTCACAGTCCCGGACACATCAGCAGACGCGATCCACTCGCCATTGGGCGAGTACCTGGCGACCGTAGCCGGATACCCATGCTCGGCGTAGACAGATACCTCGAGAGGGTTGTCGAGATTGAGGATCATGACGGATCGACCATTGGTGTAGAGAACGGAGTTGGTTTTAGGGTGGCCGGAGATTAAAATTCCTCGGCCTCGCTCGGTGGATGGCATGCAGGCATAGGTCTCAGAGAGCTCCGGCGTAGCCATGATTCAGAAGAAGAAGAAGAAGAAGAAGAAGAAGAAGAAGAGAAGGTGATGGAAAATGGCGAAAAGGAGAGTCAAATCGGAGCTGATTGCATTTGTAACAGTGACCGTGCAGCGCACCAAGAGGACGATAACGGTGATTACAGAATTGCCGGCGAAGGCGACATCGTCGCCGCGTTTTTTTTCCTTTTAATTCTTTTATTTTTTTGGAAAGACGTGGCGGTGTTTTATTGGACGAACGCTAAAAGATGATTAAATGGATTATTTGAGTTAAACTAACCATAAGTTTAGTCTCAACTTTTGATAAATCTGCGAAACTTCAAATTTATTTCTAACATAGCTCTGACTTATTTAATATTTTAAAAAATTTACTGACTTGTTAAACATAAAATTAGAAATTTAGAATTCTAAGAATAAAATTAAATTTTATGTCGATGTCTTAATTTAAAAATATAGAATAGACAAATGACCTATTACACACCAAAGTGAAAATTCAAATAACTTGTTAGGCATAATTATTTTTCAAATTGAAAGTCTATAAGTGAATTGGAATTTAGTCTATTAGACATAATCTAGGACTAAACATGTAATTTCTTTATTTTATTTTTCAACCTGTTACTTTGTATTGTTTTGAATTCTACTCCCACCATGTTCTAACTTTTTTTTTTCTTTCGTATTTTCATTTATTTATTCTATGACATATTTATTTTCCTATAAATCATTTAAGGGAGTTGTCCTATAAAAGATGGGTAAAACGACAGGTTTGAAACACAATTATTGTAAACTGGTTTAAAATCAATTCTAATAAGGTCATACGAATTTGTAAAATATGATTAATTGAGGTCCCCATTACATGTAAATATAAATTAATGGTGTAATTTGAAGGTTATATAAATATAAAAATGAATTATTTACTGCTATTATTATTTATTTCACTGTATTTCATTACCAGTAGTTACCGGTCATTACTTGAGAAAGATAATTTTGATTACATCTCCTATAATCCCAATCGAAAAATTGTTTAATTCATATTAAAGCAATGTATTGGAGTACCTATGATATGATCATTTTGTTTTTTGAAACACAAGTTTTTAGTATTATTTTCCCTTTTCTATTGACTATAAATACTTATAAAGT